CTTACCAAGATACAAACTGTAGCAAGTATTGCCCTACCAAGCTACAAACTGTAGCAATTATTGCCTTACCAAGCTACAAACTGTGGTCAGTATTGCCTTACCAAGTTACAAACTGTAGTCAGTCTTGCCTTACCAACCTACAAACTGTAGCAAGTATTGCCTTACCAAGCCACAAACTGTAGCAAGTATTGCCTTACCAAGTTACAAACTGTAGCAAGTATTGCCTTACCAAGCTACAAACTGTAGTCAGTATTGCCTTACCAAGCGACAAACTGTTGCAAGTATTGCCTTATAAAGCTACAAACTGTAGCAAGTATTACCTTACCAAGCTACAAACTGTAGTCAGTATTGCCTTACCAAGCGACAAACTGTTGCAAGTATTGCCTTATAAAGCTACAAACTGTAGCAAGTATTGCCTTACCAAGCTACAAACTGTAGCAAGTATTGCCTTACCAAGTTACAAATAGGATTGGTTAATAACAGAGTTGACCTATCAGGTCAAATCATACAGATATTTCTTTTGCACATACGTGATATCCCCTCTAAGCTGGCACATTTTGGTAGTTTCTTTGATTAGGGGTTGCTAAACCCCTTAAAAAGTTATATTTTTCGAGTTCAATACAGTGAACACTTAGTTGGTTGAGTATGGTGTATCATTGGTTAGCCTATATTTGTTGACTTTCAGGTCAGAAATAGGTTTTTTCACTATTCTAGAGGGGGTTATGTCAGTGATGTATGAAAGTGATCCTTACCTGTGCACTAACTCGATAAGGATTGAATACATCTCCAATTCCAGAACAATCATAATTAAAGCCTTCATGTATACTCCAGTTGTAAGTCAAGTCCTGAAAAAAGAATTGCGGTAATTGTTTATTAAGTCCCTCAAGTGAATTGAAATTCTATTCAGAGAAACATGTAATAAAATCAGTCTATTGCACATCAGACAAATGTGTAACTGAATTACACAGTTATTAAATTGGAGAAATAAACAAGTTTGAAAAAGTTTGGCATGTCAGAGACATAGATCCAATAGCATTCAATAAAACAGAATGGCAACCAGTCGGCCATTATGAATCCAATCTGAAAAACAAAATGTGCCCCTCTTATAAAAATGTCGATTGTATGCCCCAACATTTAATGAAAGTTTGATGAAATTTTAACGTTAAATAGCCATCATTTTTTAATCAGAGTGTGCATACATCCAGACGTATAACAAAATCAGCGAAATAAAAAAGAAAATGACGAGATGACAAAACCAAGTTTTATTGAATTTATCTCAGCATAAGATGGAGAGATGGACTACAAATATAAGGAAGACCCCATCATATGGTCAGAGGCTCAGAGCATTGACTGAATATTAATGGAGTTGATGACAATGCCAGACAACACAAATAGTTAACTCAGAACTATAATTGAAGATGATCATCATGTTTTATCACAAATCACACATGACATCACGTTTTATCACAAATCACACATGACATCATGTTTTATCACAAATCACACATGACATTATGTTTCATCACAAATCACACATGACATCATGTTTTATCACAAATCACAGATGACATCATGTTTCATCACAAATCACACATGACATCATGTTTTATCACAAATCACAGATGACATCATGTTTTATCACAAACCACACATGACATCATGTTTTATCACAAATCACACATGACATTATGTTATATCACAAATCACACATGACATCGTGTTTTACCACAAATCACACATGACATCATGTTTATCACAAATCACACATGACATTATGTTTTATCACAAATCACACATGACATTATGTTTTATCACAAATCACACATGACATTATGTTTTATCACAAATCACACATGACATTATGTTTTATCACAAATCACACATGACATTATGTTTTATCACAAATCACACATGACATTATGTTTTATCACAAATCACACATGACATGTTTTATCACAAATCACATTCATGAATTATGTTTATCACAAATCACATTATGTTTTATCACAAATTACACATGGCATGTTTTATCACAAATCACACACGGCAT